AGAGGGTCTTCTATGAAATGAATCTATCTTTCTGGAATGTGAGAGGGTTAAATAAACCCTCAAAACAAATGTTGATCAAGCAACATATACAGTTCTACCACCTCTCCTTTATTTCTCTCCTGGAAACTAAAATCAAGGAAGCTAATATGCTGAATACAACAAGAAGAATTGCTAAGGACTGGAGCTGGCTTTCTAATGTTAGTAGTTCTGAGAAGGCCAGGATTATTATACTTTGGGATCCTAATATTTTGGATATACAACAAATAAATCTCTCTAGCCAGCAGATTTCTTGCAAGGTAAACTCTACTGATGGAAGGTTCTCATGTGTGATATCATCAGTGTATGGCTATAATAATATGCAAGCAAGGAAGGAGTTATGGTCTGAATTATCTCAAATTCACAATTCAATTGGTAGCATACCTTGGCTTGTATGTGGAGATTTTAACACAGTTCTTTGTAATGAAGAAAAACTGGGAGGCTCTGTTTTAACTGATGCTGATACAAATGACTTCTGTTCTTTTATTGAGAATTGTCAGCTCTCCCATCTGAAAACCATAGGATGTTTCTTCACTTGGAACAACAAACAAGACAAGGATACAAGAGTATGGAGCCGTCTGGACAGATCTTTAGTAAATGAAGACTGGATTCATCAACTAAACTCTAGTCATGTGGAGTTCATGTTACCCAATTTCTCAGACCACTCTCCAGCTGTTGTCTCAGTTTATGAAAACTGCTCTCAAGGTAAAAAGCCCTTTAGATTTTTTTAAAATGTGGACAGAGCACTCTGATTTTCTACCCACTATTTCTGCCATATGGAATTCTCATGTTCGTGGCTTTCATATGTATTCTGTATGCACAAAACTTAAAAAGCTAAAAGAAGCTTTGCAGTCTCTGAATAAAAGACACTTTGGGAATATAAGTGAGTAGGTTATAAGAGCTAAGGCTGAGTTAGAAGAAATTCAAAAGAATCTGCAGGCTGATCCTCTTAATTCAGATTTCATAAATCAAGAAAGGAGGTCTATTCTTCTATACAACATGCTCTTAGATCATGAGCTATCCTTCTATCAACAAAAAGCAAAAATTGCATGGTCTATCCAGGGGGACAGGAATTCTAAGCTCTTTCATTCAGCCATTAAAACTAATAGGCATAATAATAGAATTATGATTCTCTATAATAATCAGGGTTCTAGACTTACTAATGGGGATGAAATAGCAAAGGAGTTTATCTCCTTTTATAAGAGCTTGATGGGAACTGCTGTGCAAACTACTGAACCTGATGATAAAGTTATACAGCAGGGCACATGCCTGAATGCTTGCCAGGAAAGTGAGCTATCTAAGGCAGTCACCAAAGATGAAATTAAAAGAGCAATATTCTCAATGCCAGACAATAAAGCCCTAGGGCCTGATGGATATAGTGCATCTTTTTATAAATCTGCATGGCCCATTATTGGTGATGAGATCTCATTAGCAGTTAATGAGTTCTTTAAATCTGGAAAGTTACTGGGAGCTGTAAATTCCATTTCGATCACCCTTGTCCCAAAGATAAAATGTCCAAAAACTCCTGCTGACTACAGACCTATTTCTTGCTGCAACTGCCTATATAAAATCATTTCGAAAATTTTGACAAATAGAATTCAGGCTGTTATGGGGATTATAGTAAGCGAAGCCCAAAGTGCATTTGTGAAGGGTAGACAAATTTCAAACAACATCCTTCTAGCTCATGAACTGGTGAAGAACTATCGAAGGAAACAATTATCACCAAGGATTATGATCAATATAGACATCAGAAAAGCTTTTGACTCTATAAGTTGGAATTTCATTAAAGTTATTATGAAGGGTCTTGGATTTCCTTTGGTCTTTATCAACTGGGTTATGAGCTGTATTTCAAATCCAAACTACTCAATTTCCCTGAATGGAAGTCTACATGGTTTCTTCAAGGGACAAAGAGGACTGAGGCAAGGGGATCCTCTATCCCCCTACCTATTCATTCTTGGAATGGAGTATCTGACGAGGAGTTTGAATATGCTGAAGAGTGATAAAAACTTTAAATTCCACCCCAAATGCAAAAAGCTAAATATTACACATCTAATATTTGCTAATGATTTACTCCTTTTCTGCAGAGGGGATTATTATTCTGTAAACAAACTTTTCCAATGTGTTAAATCTTTTGGAGCTTGTTCTGGGTTGGAGGCAAATCCAGCAAAGTGTTCCATCTTCTATGGTGGTGTGTCGGAGGATATTAAACATGCCATTGCCAACTCCCTGGGCTTCCCTGAAGGATCTTTACCTATAAAATATCTGGGGCTTCCTTTGATTTGCAAAAGGATGTCATATCAAGATTGTAATCCTCTGATCATGAAGATTTCCAGCCAATTCCAAAACTGTCTAAAGCACAAGAAATTGTCTTATGCAGGAAGGATACAGATAATCAAAAGTGTTATATTGGGTGTCCAAATTTTCTGGACTTCTATTGTCTTATGCAGGAAGGATACAGATAATCAAAAGTGTTATATTGGGTGTCCAAATTTTCTGGACTTCTAGCTACATTCTTCCAGTTAAAGTATTGAATCAAAAGTGTTATATTGGGTGTCCAAATTTTCTGGACTTCTAGCTACATTCTTCCAGTTAAAGTATTGTACAAGATTGATGAGCTATGTAGGATTTTTTTATGGGGCAAATCAGATCAGGTGTTCAAAGCTTCTCTTGTGTCATGGAATAAAATCTGTGTGCAAAGGAAACATGGAGGCTTGGGTATTTTCTCAGCTCAACTTTGGAACACTGCTGCTGCATTAAAGCTTCTTTGGAACATTCACATGAAAAAGGAGCAGCTGTGGATTAAATGGATACATGAGAGTTACCTAAAAAGCAAGAGTATCTGGCAGGTTAAAGCTAGGAAAGGGGACTCTTGGATGTGGAAGCAACTTTTGAAAATCAGGGATAAATGTCTGATAATGTGTGGAGGGATTGAAAGTCTTAAGCAACGAATAGCCTCTTGCAATGTCAATTCTAGATTGCAACTCTCTGATTTATATACCAGTATGCATCCTATCTCTGCACCTGTAACATGGCATGATACTGTTTGGGAAAAACTGAATTATCCAAAGCATTCATTCATCTTGTGGCTGGCAGTTCAAGATAAACTTCAAACTCAAGACAGATTAATGAAGCATGGGATCATTCAGTCTTCAATATGCAAGCTATGTGATGGCTCATATGCATAGAACCGTAGCCATCTCTTCTTTGAATGCTCAATGTCTACTTATATCTGGAATAGCATAATGGAGTGGCTTAAATTCAAATGGAGAAGCTGTGATTGGTCCTCCCTCATGAATTGGTCTAGTTTCAGATTGAGGGGTAGTGGTTTAAAACAAAAAATCAAGAGGATGGCATTAGCGGCTACTGTCTACAATATTTGGAGAGAAAGAAATTGCAGAAGTTTCAAGCTGGAAAATAGAACTGCTGACTGTTTGATCAAGAACATTAAGGTGGACATCCTAACAGCTATTTTAAACAAGTCCCTGTCGGATGAATGCAGAGATTGGGTTCTCTCATTGTAGAGCTCACTGCAATCTTCATGCTGCCAGTTACAGATATGAAAGAGGTGCTGCACATGGTGAGGAGGCAAAAGTTTTTAGACTGCTTCAGTCTGATTGAACATCAGTATACTTCATACACAGGATATACTGTAGTTTATAGCTTATACAGTACTGTTGAATACCTGTATATTTCTTGATTGTTGAGTTTTTTTTCTATTAGAGCTGCAAGAGGGTATCTCACCTTTTGGCAGTGAGATTCTTGATGTATATACTTTCCACATTTTGGGAATGAATAAAATTTTTCATTTACCAAAAAAAATAAAATAATATGACACATATCAGTTCTTTGTACCTTTATAATATGAAACATGTTAATTTTTTTGTGCATTTAAGAGTTCCACCTATTTCTCTTTAGATATAAAGGAGGGATATGCTTTTTTTTGTTGGGTAAATGAAAATTTCCATTACCAATTGAAAGAGTGAAGTACAAGATCAAAACCTGGGCACACGTGGGACTCGACACAAGCACTCCTAACTCTCAAGCTATAACAAATAAGTGCTATCATACAGCCACACTATACAAAAAACAAAACCCTCTATAAATATTCCATCCAACATTTGTTCTGTGGAGGGATATTAATCAAGCTGCATGTCTTTGTAATCACCTCGATCAATTTTTATCTGCTTAACTACAATATTGATCCCCGTTCCTTATAGCTGAAATCTGCTCAAGTTCGTTTCCCTCCAATACACAGCAGCACCAAACAAAGCTATCAAACACAGCACCACATTAGGACCTTAGCAGAGAGACGACAAAGAAAAATTTAGGAATAGGACAACGGCACATATTAAACCATCATCACAATAGATCCCAATGCAAGCTTTTAGAGTCAGACCAAATTCATGTTATACATCTGAAGGTAATTGCATTATCACTGCCAAAATTTTGTCGTAACAGCAATGTCATTAATCACTAACTACTAATTCAGTTAATATTCATGTTATAAGAAAGCTAGAGCACAATATATTTAGACTACTATGATGGTATAGAGAAAGTTTCTCGATATCTACCTATTGTCACATGGCAAGAACTAGTCGTTCTTGGTAATTAAACTATCATGTATATATACTTACTCTCCATAAACAAACAAACAAAAAAAAAAATCTGGTCCTTATCTCTTACTAATCAAATTGGTAAAATATCATGAATTTGGTGGGAATTAGGCACCTCATGAGATAGTAAAAGGCTGTTAAGAGACCTAAGCATGATAGTACATGGCTACAACATATATGACCTGTTCAAAAAGAAAAGAAAAAAAAACATTTCTAAGAGTGAAAATAGGGAGATTGGATATGTATATAAAGGGGACGTTACTTGCATTGCTCCTCACAACTGAGTTAGCCAAGAGATCTCTACTTCCTTTCATATTTTGGAGGTTTGAGTCATTTGTTTGTTAGCCAGCCATGGCGGATCAACAGAAGGTGCAGACAATGTTGAAACTAATCCTTGCATTGGTTGTTTGCTTGATTGCAGTGGCTGCAAAAGATGAAGACAAGCCTAATGTCTACTCTTACCCTCCACCTCCAGCAATTGACTACTATAAGTCACCGCCGCCCCCTTCGCCGTCACCTCCACCGCCATATTACTACTACATGTCACCTCCGGATTATTATTATAAGTCTCCGCCTCCCTACCAATACAAATCACCTCCTTATTCCAAAGCACCAGCACCAGAATATTACAAGTCTCCGGCTCCCTACTATTACAAATCACCTCCTTATCACAACGCACCACCACCGGAATATTATTACAAGTCTCCTCCTCCCTACCAATACAAATCACCTCCTTATTCCAAAACACCACCACCTGAATATTATTATAAGTCTCCGGCTCCCTACTATTACAAATCACCTCCTTATCACAACGCACCACCACCGGAATATTATTACAAGTCTCCGCCTCCCTACCAATACAAATCACCTCCTTATTCCAAAACACCACCACCTGAATATTATTATAAGTCTCCGGCTCCCTACTATTACAAATCCCCTCCTTACTATTATACTTCACCTCCACCTCCCTACCCGTCATATACCCCTCCTTATTATTACAAGTCACCACCTCCCCCTTCTCCATCGCCTCCTCCTCCTTACTACTATAAGTCACCACCCCCTCCTTCTCCCTATCCTCCTCCAGCATACTATTACAAGTCACCTCCTCCACCTTCGCCTTCACCCCCTCCTCCATACTATTACAAATCGCCGCCTCCTCCTTCTCCTTCTCCCCCTCCACCATACTATTACAAGTCACCACCCCCTCCTTCGCCTCCTCCTCCGCCTCCAACCTACTACTACAAATCCCCACCACCTCCTTCCCCCTCACCTCCTCCACCATACTATTACAAGTCACCACCTCCCGCATCTCCTTCTCCTCCATACTATAAGTAATCACCACCTCCTTCACCTTTACTTCATCCATATATACTACCATATGTCTCAGCCTCCCCCATCTTCCTTGTCTCCTTCTCCTTCTTCACCACTATACGTTTCCATCTTCCGCATCTCCTTCTTCTTACTGTATGTTGACAAGTCACCTCTTTGCTTCTCCACCTCCTCCTTAATTACTACTATACATCTCCATCTCCATCATCTACGTCGCCTTTGTCACTGTGCTACTATATACCTGGCCTCCACTTCTATCTCCATCACCATTCTTTACTACTATACATCTCCATCTCCGCCATTCCCATCTTCTCCACTATATTCCAATAAATGTCCATCTTTACCACCTATGACTGGTTTGATGAAGTTGTGTTTGCTGAATAAGAGGAAATAAGAATTTGTTTAAGTGCTTGACAGCTCAAAGATATACATTGATCATATGCGAACATGATATGTTACAGCACTTTTTCTTTGATGTATCTCGCTTAGTTACTGTTTCGTTGAATATTAAAGCCTTTATGTGTGTAATTTTTGTTTGTTTGTTTGAATAAAATTAAGTATGTTTCTGTTGGAAAAAAAATTCAGTCATGTTGTGAATAACACATGGATTCAGAAATACAATTCTAGTCATGTTGAGTATATGCCTCCAAGCTTATCTGATCATTGCCCAGCTTTAATATCAATTTATGATGAGGGTAGGCAAGGCAAGAAACCCTTCAGGTTCTTCAAAATGTGGACTAATCATAGCAACTTCCTGCCTGCAGTATCTTCAATTTGGCAAAAACAAGTGAAAGGCTGCAAAATGTATTCACTCTTTCTCAAGCTCAAAAATCTAAGGGAGGTTTTGAAAGATCTTAACAGTAAACACTTTGGAAATATAAGTGAGCAGGTATATAGAGCAAAAAATGCATTAGAGGAGGTCCACCAAAAGCTCCAAGTTGATCCTTTCAATCATGTTCTCATTAGTCAGGAAAAAGATTGTCTATCAGTATACAACAAACTCCTGACTTGTGAATCTCTTTTCTCCAGCAAAAAGCCAAAATCCAATGGAGTGTCAAGGGAGATAGAAACACAAGCTATTTCCACTCAATTATCAAGGCTAACAGCCATCATAACAGGGTCCTAGTCCTAAACAATAGCCTGGGAGGGAAAATCACTGAGGAGGAGGAAATTGTTAAGGAAATTATTTCTTACTATAAAAACCTCATGGGCACAACCATTCCAACATCAGATCCAAGCATTGATATTATTCAGAATGGTCCATGTCTGGGAGAAAATCATATAAGATATCTATCTACACCTATATCAAATGAAGAGATAAGAAATGCAGTGTTCTCCATTCCAGATAACAAGTCCCCAGGCCCTGATGGCTATGGATCTTCTTTCTTCAAATCCTCCTGGAATGTGATTGGAGGTGAAGTTACTCATGCTATTCAAGATTTTTTTCAAAATGGTAAACTATTGGGAGCTATCAACTCTACATCCATCACTCTTATACCTAAGGTACATTGCCCAAACACTCCTGCTGACTTTCGGCCAATTTCTTGCTGTAACTGTCTTTATAAAGTGATATCTAAAATTCTTGCAACTAGAATCCAGTCTGTGATGGGGTATCTAATAAGTGATGCCCAAAGTGCTTTTGTCAAAGGTAGAAATATAGCCAGTAACATCCTTTTAGCTCATGAATTGGTGAAAACTATGGTCAGAAATACATATCTCCAATGGTCATGATAAATATAGACATAAGAAAAGCTTTTGATACCATTAGTTAGAAATTCATTGAAGCTATGCTAAAGGGCTTGGGTTTCCCCAAAGTAATGACTGAAAGGATCATGACTTGTATATCTTCACCTATGTATTCTATATCTTTCAATGGATCACTCCATGGCTATTTCAAAGGAGAAAGAAGCCTTAGGCAAGAAGATCCCCTTTCCCCCTACCTGTTCATCTTGGGCATGGAATATCTTTCAAGGAACCTGGATCTATTGAAACTGGACAGGGATTTCAATTTTCATCCAAAGTGTGGTAAGGTCAAGATCACACATTTGATATTCGCTGATGATCTCCTGTTGTTTTGCAAAGGAAATCTAATATCAATTCAAAAGCTCTATCAATGCATTGTACATTTCAGTGAGGTTTCTGGCCTTGATGCAAATCCAAGCAAA